TCTGTCTCCTCCCCTGGGGAGGCACAGAGAGCCAGGGGCAAAGCCCCTTCTGTAAGCCACCCCCGGCCTGGAGCATCGGGGAGCAGGACCCAATGCTGAGCTCCTCCGGCTCCGTGGTCCTGGTCGCCCTTCTGCAAGCCAGCTGATTCTTCTGCCTCAGGCAGGCCTCTAGGTAAGATGGACTTGCTGGGGTCTGGGCCTTCTTCAGGGAAACTCTGTTAAATACAGACAGACATCAAGTAAAATAAGAATAGAAACAATATATTTATGAAATCACGTTTTTGGAAAAACCATACATCTCTGGATAGAACATGTTAAAAGAAAAAAGAATAGGAGGATATATGCCAGATGTTTACAGTGGTTTTCCCGGGACCGTGACAATTTTTTCTTCCTTTTGTGGCCCTGTATTTTATACTGTCCTATTATATGGTATTACTTGTGTAATGGAAATGTTCTGATATGTACTCTGCAAATACCTTAGTCATTTCAGGGTAGCAAGCAAAGATGAAGGCTTTGCCAGAGTAGAAGGAACACTAGACTTGCCACAAAGGTCTTGGGTCATTGAACAAGCATGTATATTTACATTCATTTGTTAAATCTATATAACGAATATGTGTAAAAATATTTGTTGGGTTACTTGCCAGATATTGACTGGGTAGAATTCTTGGTAAGATGGATTAAAAATATACACTTCATAGGATTAATTTGAGAACAAAATGAACTCATGTTTGTGTAAGCATTTAGCATAAGGTTTTAACTGGGCATAAGTGCTCAGTAAATAATTTAAAAAATGAAAGTTTTAGTTCTTTACACAATATAAAAAAGGGGTATGAGTAAGTAAAACATAGTACGAATGTTTCATGTAGAAAATGAAGAGTGAGGAGGAAGAGATAAGTCACTAATAAAATTGAGATTATTCTTTTTTTTTTGTATTTTTTCCAAATATTTTAGTTTGGAAGACCTGCGAGTAAAGCTGGAGAAAGAAGGTTTTTCTAGCATCTCCTATGTTGTTGTTAATCATCAAGGACTCCCTGCTCGATTAAGATATAATCTTCTTAAAAATGAGGTTTCAGAACATATTACTGTTTATCAACAAGAAGAAAACCAAACAGATGTCTGGACTCTCTTAAATGGAAACAAAGATGACTTCCTCATATATGACAGGTATGTACATACACACACAGACACCCACATACAACACCAGAAATTAAAGATGCCTGCTTGTATTTAATTTAATAGAAATTGATTTGAGATAAGGCCCTTGTTTTTATTTTATTACCGAATATTTAGTTTCAAAGTGAGCCCATTAAAATATTTGGTTCTGATATTTTTGAAATAATTTTTTTCACAAAAAATTCACTATTCCAGTAGGGAAATAAAGAAAACTGACTATACTTTTTCCCCCTGTAAATTGGTGTTCTGGTTAAACACAAATGAGGATCGATTTGTATATCATATACAATTCTAATCTAAGAATTTTGCAGGAGAATAAATTTGGGGAGGCTAGATGAAAGAAGGTGAAGGGATTAGCCAAAGAACATATATGCATAACCCAATAGACACAGACAACAGTGTGGTCATGGTCAGAGGGAAGGGGGGGCAGTGGCTGGGTGAAGGTTGGCAAGGGGGGAAGGGGACATCTTGTAATAGTGTCAACAATAAAAATAAAGAAAACAAACAAACAAAAATAACCACACTTTGCAGACCACTTGCTTATCTCTAATCTAATAATTTTAAGACTGCATACCTGAATTTTGGAACTATAAACTGTATTAATTAGTTAGGGATAATAATTGATCTGCTTTTGAGTCCATGAACAAATAAAACAGTGCATATATTAGGATGTTATTAACATTCCTAGTGGGCACTGTGTTTCCTGTTGGTTCTTCAGAGATGGTGAGCCAGACTTGGCCAGGCCTAAGTCCTCCTTGGTCTTTCTCGAAATATTTTTAATATTATGTCATTCTTTTAGGACTTCAAAGTTCTACTGCAAAGTATAAATATTTGCTATTCACAGAGAATCATATATACTGGGCGAAATGTGTGCAAGAAGGACATTTCACCTCCACCATTTCTGAGCATGCCCAATGTTGTAACTCTGTGTCTTTCATTGTGAAGTTTTTGTTGCTTCAGATTTATTTTTAAGAAAATGCACCACTGACCAAGACTCCAGGATGTTTTGTCAGGCTGTGACTTCTTGTGTGGACTTCGTGCTGCCTTAGCAGCTGTGAGCAGCGCATATGATTTGCAGAGATTAATTTGTGATGTCAGTGGTTGGGCATGGGTAGAATTTTTAGGTCAATTACAAAACTGTATTTGACCAAGTCGCAATGACTACAGTTTTGATATTGCTTATAGCGAGATATCTGTAACATTTCTAAAAGCTAGTATTAGACTCACTGCATCTTGCTCTGACCTGAGCTGGCTGAGCGCCAGGAAGCTTGAGTCATGCTGAAGAACCATTCCTGAAGGTTCGACCTGTCTTAGTTATGAGACCCCTGACCCTACACAGCCTTCTTCCAACTGCGCTGGGGCCGGAGCACGATACAGAGAACACTGATGACGCCGTCTTTGTCCTTTTTTCCAGGTGTGGCCGCCTTGTGTATCACCTTAGCCTGCCTCTCTCCATCCTAGAGTTCCCGTACGTGGAGCAGGCCATTAAGATTGCTTACTGTGAAGAGAAATGTGGAAACTGCTCTCTCACGGTATTTTCCTCAATGATTTTTACTGGGAGAAAAGAGGAGATCTTTAAGGAGTTATCGAAATAAGTTAATGTTTCATGACCAAGTTAGCTAGTCACTGTTGGTGTACTAAAAAGAAACTGCAACAGTAATTTTTATCATCACACACACTCCCTGTCATGTGACCTATTCTTTAAGATATCTTTTCAAGATCCATATTGCCGCTTTGGTCTACAGTTTAGAGCAGAGGCTCTCAACCATCCTAATGTCGCGACCCTTTAATACAGTTCCTGATGTTGTGGTGACCCCAATATCATTGTTACAAATTGAACATAATTAACGCATAGTGATTAATCACAAAAACAATATGTAATTATTTATGTGTTTTCCGATGGTCTTAGGCGACCCCTGTGAAAGGGTCGTTCGACCCCCAAAGGGGTTGCGATCCACAGGTTGAGAACCGCTGGTTTAGAGTGAAAAACAATTTAGATCACATATTATAGTTACCAGCAAATGATGCTGTGAGAGTGTAAGTGCTCCAAGAACGCAGCCAACATAAAGGCACGTCAGCGTAAAATCCTGAGCGTGGTTCACGCAAGAGCATAGAGACAGCAAAGCCTGACCACCGTGCGTTGCCTGACCTGGAGCGGGGCCAAGGGAACGACTTCATGGAGCGAGGGCGCAAGGCGTTCAGCTTTTCCCATGGTCTGGGTTGCCTGCCGTCCTGCAGTTGGATCACGGCGTTTACTTTGAAATGGGATAGTTTTCTACTCGTTACTGAGATTTCTTTCCCAACACACAAAGCCAGTTCCATCCTAGCGAACTAGTTGGAGTTTCATGGTCGCTCTGCAAATCATTTTTCGGGCATTCACGCTGAATCTATGCATGTGTTGATGAGTGATTGATGAATTTGTTTCAGACACTGGAAGATGAAGACTTCTGTAAGAATGTGTCTTTGGCCTCTGTGAGTAAAACCACCGAGGCTCCGGAGCCACACCACCACCATCATCATCACCATCACAAGCATGGGCATCAGCACATTCCCATCGCCCAGCTCTCCGAGGACCAGCAGCCAGAGGCACCAAACGCGTCTGAGCGCGTCCCTTTTCCAGGTCTTCACCACCACCTTAAGCTCAAGAGCCCCCAAAGACAGGGTCATCCCGTGCGTTGAGACGAGCCAGGAAGTGAAAGTTTACCACTCTCTTCTCCGCAGAAGAAACTCTGAGGAAAGAGGTGTATAAATCAGTTACTCTGAAAGTTGCCCAGGGAGTCAGAGTCAGCTGCTAGCAGCTGATGCTGACACTGTCGCCACCTGGTATTTGAGCACACAGGGTCCGCAGTCACCTGACAGTGTAGAGAAGCCCTCCCCTCTTTATGCAGCTGATTGGGGCTTTGGGCCGAGGAGAACGTCATTGAGTCTTGACAGTGACGCTTGCCTCCTGCTGCCTGACAGGCAGGTCAGCTCGAGCCCACAAAAGCCAGCAACATCTGAAGCTGAAAAACTGAGGCAGAAATGTGACAGTGACCTTCAAACTAAATATCTAAACTAGGATATACTCCCAAGTCAGACTAGACACAATTCTGATTAGCATATTTATAAACTACCTAATAAATAATGGTAAAAGTTAGGAATTGGATTTGTGCAAATGAAGAAATCTACTATATTGGCTTCTAAATTTTAAGATTTGTGCCCAAGAAAAATTTGACCCAAACCATTTTTTTTTTTCATTAGAGGGCAACTGAAAGGTGATTGCAGTGCTTGGTTAGTCTGTCTTTCTTTTTCTTTTTCCAGCATTCTACTTGCATTAATGAGAACAGGAACAGAAACTATGACCTAGGGGTTCCTGTTGGATAGTTAGCAATTTAGAGTGGAGGAAGAACAACAAAGACATGCTTTCCACTTTTTCTTAATTCTCAAAACAATGTTACCTTTGTCTTTTCAAACTTACAGTTTTAACTGATTATACCTTTAAAGGAAGAAGTGAATTCTTGCTACTTAACATATGAGTACCTTGCTACTGACTACATTTTAAATATCCATTTATACTTTTTTATATCTAAGACTCAAATCTTAAATTTTTATTATCACCTATGAAAGAAGGCTTTATCTATTGTTTTCCTTATCTTGCATTGTAGCAGACTCTTTAAGATTTGAGAATGCCTGTCTTGAAAGATATAAGGGGAAAGAGAAAAGAATGTTGTCTATCTCTTGATTGCTTAGCAAGTATTTCCATAGTCAATGATGGTTCACTAGGTAAACTAAGTCCTATGAACCTGAACTCCGTTATGGTTAATACTATTAAGTAAGAATGCAGTATATAGTTGGCCAAAGTGTGGATTTATTTCAATAAACTCAATTTAAAATGTCTAAAGCTGTCTCTTACATTGTTATTATTTAGGCAGTTTATTATATTAGCAACAGAAGTAAAGTTTTCAACTGCTTTTAAAGGAGTTAAATAGCAACAAATGAATTTACTGCTGTCCTTAAAACCGTCTACGTTTAAGGTGAGGATCCTTGCCAACAGAGAGGCGCTGCTCCAGTTCTCGAATGGTGTTACGAAGAGTTGCAATCTCCTTGTTTTTTTCTTCTTGAAGATGTTGAAGCTTCTAAATAAAGCAGAAAAATTTTGCTATTGTAATCCAAAAAGGACAAGATTAAGTACAAGGAACAACAAAACAACAACAAAAACTAAACTTCTAGTTTAAATAGAAGTAGGTATTCAAAAAAGACCTTACATTTCAAAAAGTGTAATTTTGTTTTTGTGGGACTTAATGGAGTAAAATTGGCATAAGGATGCAAAAATACACATTAGCACCATTTGTTTTAGTTTGTTCCCTTCTCCCTAGAGAACTTGACATTGTAAAGCATAAAGAAGGAGTTGAACAAAAAGAAATCTACTGTGTACTGAAATAGCTTCAGAAGTCAGTCCACATTAGTTCAAAATACATCACAGAATTCCTTAGGCCATCCAGAGTTTAAATTGAAAGTGACCTTTAAAGATTATTCAAAATCTAATCTTTCTGATTGTGTGGTGTATTTTAAGAAAAAGTACTAAGTATATTGTTAGTAAATATTGACAACTTTTGTGGAAAGAAACACACTAAGAAACTTTATTTTCTTAAGCATGGAAGAAAAACTTACCCTTCTGTAGATACTTTGCGGCAAAACAGTAGAATCTGGATATGATTTTGGTTTAGTTTGAACTCTTGCTAGTTTGGCATCAAACTGAATCAAGTTTAAAAAGAAAGTTATTGGAAACATTCTAGTTAAACAATTAGAAACAATTGTCTCCATAAATATAAATATAATCCATTATATCCTTTGACATTTAATCTGTAATCCTATATAATAAAAGCCTAATATGCTAAGTGTCCAGTAGACCAGTCAGCTGTTCAACCAATCAAAGCATAATATGCTAATGATATGCTAAGGCCTCTCAACTACTCACTATGACGTGCACTGACTACCAGGGGGCAGACACTCTGGCTAGTGTTAGCTTGCTGCTGGGGTCTGGCTTATCGGGACTGAGTGAGATGGGCCAGTCATGCCTGGGAGCCCTCCTGTGGTCCCTCCCTGGCTGGCCAACCTCCCGTGTCCCTCCCCCACCCCGATTGTGCACCGGTGGGGTCCCTTGTCCTGGCCTGTACCCTCTCACAATCCAGGACCCCTCAGGGAATGTCAGAGAGCCAGTTTCAGCCCGATCCTGCAGGCCAGGCCGAGGGATCCCACTGGTGCACAAAGTTGTGCAGCGGGCCTCTAGTTTAAGTATATTCGAGGTGTAACAGAAGATAGAAAAGTCTTTATTTAAGAAATAGAGCAAAGAACGCCCAAATAAGATTAACCCTGGCTGCATGCTAAGATTACCTGGGGAGCTTTTTAAAAAGTACCCAATACTGGGCACTACCCTAGAGATTCTGGGTGGGGTTAGCATCATCTTTTCTTAGAATATCAGGTGTTTCTATCATGCAGGGTTAAGTATCTAGTTAAGAGTGTTGAGAATCTATTTAACCTAAAGAGAGATAATGTTTCACATTGAGTGCTTTTTAAAAAAATATTTTTTTATTGACTTTAGAGAGGAAAGGAGAGGGCAAGAGAGAAACACCAATGATGAGAGAGAATCATTGATCAGTTGCCTTCTGCACGCCCCACATTGAGGATCAAACCCACAATCCAGGCATGTGCCCCAATGGGGAATCGAACTGTGACCTCCTGGCTTACAGGTCGATGCTCAACCACTGAGCCACGCCGGCTGGGCAAAGTGTTTTTGTAAAAAAAAATGTCAGCTAATTAACAGTCATGAGAGAAAACTCATATATCCTTCTGAACAGACTTTGAGACGGAATAATAGAATTTGGATTTGCTTTTGTTGATTTAGTTTGAACTCTTGCTAATTTGACATTAAACTGAATCAGGTTTTAAAAAAAATTCTTGTAAGGTCATTCTTACAGGCCATATTTTTGGCAAAATCTCCCATGATAACGTTTCCTTCAGGTTGAGTTTAGTGCAGCCTCCCTGTGGACTCAGAATAAACTGTCTGTGAGACTGTGTTCTGGTTTGGGGAGAGAAATGGATCATGACGATGAAAATAAACAGCAGGAAGAGTTCTGTCAGTCACACAACAGACGTGGGCTAACAGGGTCCGGATGGCAAATTAAATGCACACCCCAATCAAGGGTGGGAAGTTAACAGCAGTTCCTCTGTGTCTCAGCTGCCCATCCAGCCTTCCCGTGGTGTGTGGGTTCACTTGATGGGAGGCAGTAGCAACCACCAAGAGCCTCTGAAGTCAACAGAGCCATCTTTTGCTTAATGATTATACACGTTTCAACACTGTACTTCACCAAGAACTCCCAGGATACCAAACTAGCTGGAACATGAAAGTAAATTATCTTAACTAATGGTGAATTATGACACCATAAGGTAAAGTGGGAGTCAGGATGGGGGAATGTGATAAAAAATTATGGAAAGGGAGATTAGTAAAATTTAGAAAAAGCTTTAAGGAACAAATATGTTGTCAAATATCAGTATCTTTATATTTTGACACCTGGTTAAGGAACCTACTTAAGGACTTTCCAGTCAAGAACTAGAACCTCAGCCTTCCAGATGCCCTATTTGAAGTTGCTTTAAATAAGAAAAAGTTTGGTTTGTCTGCCTCTATGATATTCTACACATTTGTTAAGGAGACATTTGTCTCTTTTTATTCTAAGAGAAAGGAATTTCTACGTTTCTACCATTTCTGCAGAGACGAGAGTAATACTAAGGATTAGAGACACTCCCCACTGGGGGGAAGGGGGACAGTCCTATGAAGCCTGCCTGGACTCAGCTGTAAAATGCAGGTAATCCCAGTTACCTGGTCCCTCAGAGGAAACAATACTTCTCTACAAACCAGGACGTTTGAACGACTGAAGAGCCCCACCTTCAGGCCAAGTGTTGAATGTCAGCATAGCTGACATTTGCAGAGAATGCTACTTCTGAATTTATCTCACTATGATAAAAAAATGCCCAAAGTACAGTCTAAATTAAGGGATGCATCCTCAAATGTAGAAGTCTTAAACATTTACCTCTAGCTGTAGTTTGATTATTTCAGTTTGTTTTTCCTTCTCTTGAATTTTTAACTTTGCATTTAACTCTGAAATTTCCATCTCCATTTTCTCTACCAGTTCTTTATTCTTTTCTTCATTTAATTCGACTGAATAAAACAAAGTAAATAAAATTAATTCACTTTAAAATTTAAAAAATCTTATAAGCTTATAGTTTTAGTATTTTAAATGATACACGAGAAAGTAAATTTTATTTAAAAAACACACAGTATTTTAGAAATTGTTTATGTGCAGCATACCTTTTACTGATGGGCACTTAGGCTGTTTCCAGATCTTAGCTATGGTGAATTGTGCTGCTGTGCAGCATACCTTTTAGATATTTTTGACAAGCCTTTGCCAAATGCTTGAAACATAGAAGTCACCCATTGAATGCTTTTTAAATAAGTAAACTGATTTTTACCCTTAAGCAACAATGGCCTACAGATTAACGAGGAGATCAGTGGTTAAACACGGAAACAAAGCCTCGGTTCCTAGGTCGAAAGGCCCCAAATTCCTGGGTGACTCTGCCACGCCAAGCACCTGCTATACTCTGTTCCTTATAATTGGCCTCTCTGACATTCACATCATATTTTTATTTTTCATCAAATCTCCTCTTCTCTGAATTTCCCTATTCCTATAAATAATACCGTACCATCCAAGATGGGAACCTCAACGAACTTTTCAGCTTTAGGGAGAAAGGAAAGAGTCCATTAGTCTACAACAAGCCCCCCTGATAAGGGGCCTCCACCCACAATGAGCCCAGGACCTATTTAGTTTCAGGCCTCACTTTTCCTCAGTTGAACTCTGTGTCTAGACTCTCTATCACTAGCTCTATCTCTCTAAACACTGTTGCCAGGCTAGTCTTCCTAAGTGTACCTCTAAGCATGGCCATCACTGTGTCAAAAGCTTTCAACCGCTTCCCATTTCCCCAGCGGGACAATTCAAGGCCTACCCACAGGTTTTGGCCTTCCTCTTGCTGAACCTCTCTGTATAGTGCAAAGAAAAGGTAGGAAATGAGCTATGATTCCCTAGCATTTCCCATGTCTTCCCCTCTGTATGTCTCTGAGTTGATTTTCTCTTTGTCTAGAGGCTCTTTTCCTATCTTCACCAGTCAGCCTTACCCATATTCAGGATTTAGGAGCAGGGCCTAGCACTAAGGCCCCATCTTAGCCTGGGGTGAGGCAAAGTCCATAAAAATATATTTAGCTATCCAAACTCCACCTGGTCTCACTCCACCTGGTCTCAGTATGTGCCTGGAGGCAGCACTGCTGCAGACACAATGCATAGAAGCTGTGATTACAACATGAAATGGGTCCATCTTCAGACACTATATTAGAGAACAGGTGTGTGGTTTTTTTTTATCACAACTAGGGGCTCAGTGCACAAATTTGTGCACCTTGAAAGGAACTGTGGGCTGCGAGGCTGCGGTGGGCACAGGGGCGGGTCTTGGCCCATCCTCTGCGCCCCCGCCCAGCTCCTCCGGCTGCAGCCCCAGGTCCCCTCTCTGCCATTGCAGCTCCCATGTACTGATGGCACCGGCCCCACTCGCACCCGCTGATGGTGCAAGTGGTGGTTGCTGCCCCGAGTGTCCTTCAGGAGCAGGGGGAGGTGGAGGATCCCTCAGGGGTGATCGGGGCCGGCAGCTGCGGCTTGCATCCACTGCCACTCGGTTGATAGCACTGAGCAATCGGGGCTGGCACCGGGCGCAGCAGGTGCGAGCGGGGCTGGTGTCGGCAGCAGGTGTGAGTGCCAGGAGGGACCATGGCACGTGGGACCAAAGAATTTTCAGTAACCACCAGAGGCTCACCCCGATGACAGCGATTGGTGCCATGCCTTGGTCTGGCATCCCCGCTCACCTGCCCCACCATCCCGCTGTGGCCATCGCCCACCATGTTATGCACTCTGCCGCCTGCTGCTGACGCCCACCATGTTCCACATGTGCCCCCTGTTGGTCAGCGCATGTCATAGCGACCAGTTGTTTGGTTGTTCCATTTGGTCTATTTGCATAATAGCCTTTTATTATATAGGATTACTCTGAAAGCTTTTGTTATCAAGATTCTGTTGGCCTTATGAAATGAGCTGGAAAATGTTTCCTCTCTTTTGTTTGTTCATCCTCTGCAAGAGTTTGTGTAAGGTTGGCATTACTTTTCCTGGCTGTTTGGTAGAATTTCACCAGGAAAGCCACCTGAGTCTGGAGGGGTTTTTTTTGTGGGAAAAGTATTATAGATTTAATTTCTTTAATGGAGATAGAACAATTCAGATGTTCTATTTCCTCCGGTATGCTTTTGATTCTTCAAAAATGTCTAATTCAACAAAAATTTCAAATTTATTAACATAAAGATGTTTGCTTATACAGTTAATTATGGAGTTCATTCAATTTTTAAAATTTAAAATTATTTTCTTTCTCATTTCTGATATTGATTAATTGTACTTGCTCCATTTTTTTTTCTTGATCAGTCTAGATGGGAGTTAATCAATTTCATTAGTTTTTTTTCCCCCAAATTTTTGGATCTGATTCTTTATTATGTATATGTTTGTAATTTCAGTAATATCTGACTTCCTTCTAATTTCTTCAGGTTTAGTTTGGTATTTCCCTCCTAACTTCTTGATATAGGTATTTAGATAATTGATTTAAACATTTTCCAATATTTGTATTTAAGCCTATAAATGTACCCATAAACACAGCTTTATCTGTGCCCACAGTTTTTTAAAAAAAATTTTTAAATTGATTTTTTAGAGAGAAAGGAAGGGAGAGGGAGAGAGAAATAGAAACATCGATGATGAGAGAGAAACATTGATCAGCTGCCTCCTGCATACCCTCTAATGGGAATTGAGCTACAACCAGGGCATGTGCCCTGACCAAGCATCCAACTGTGACCTCCTGGTTCATGGGTTGATGCTCAACTACTGAGCACATGGGCTGCGCCACAGTTTTGAAATGTAGTCTGTATAATTCAGTTAAAAACCCTTTAGGATTTCTACTTTGATCCACAGGTTATTCAGAAATAATTTACAAACATATAGAGATTTTTAAAATTATCTGCTTCTTGGAGGGCCAGAAGAAATTGTATGCTTAAAGTGCTATTTAATGTTATAGTCCCACCAATAAGGACTCAGAGTTTCAGTAGCTCCATATATATATATATATATATAAACATTTTAGTATTTCTAAAGGCCCAAAGTGGTATCTCATTATAGTTTTAATTTGCATTTTGCTGCTTACTAATTATGTTGAACATGCTTTCAATGCTTATTTTCCATCTGTATATCTCGGGGGAAGTGCTGTTCAAATATTTTGCCCATTTTTTTGTTGGGTTGTTCGACTTATTATTGAGTTGTTAGAGCTCTTTTTATTTTGGATATAAGTCCTTTAGCAGGTATGCATTTGCAAGTATTATCTCCCAGTCTATGGCCTGTCTTTTCATCTTGCTAACAGTGTTGAAAGACAGAAATTAATAATTTTGATGAAGTTCAATTTAGAATTTTTTTTCTTTATTATTTGTGCTTTTTGTTTCTTTCCAAGAAGTTGTACCTAACTCAAGGTTGCAAAGATTATCTTCTATGCACTCTTTCTGCAGTTTTATAGATGCAGGTTTACATTTACATCAGTCATCTATTTCAAGTTGATTTTTGCATAATGTACATAAATAAGGTCTCATTAAGAATGAACAACATAAAATAATGAACAAAAACAGATCCAGAGACAGCGAAGCATTGATCAGACCATCAAACCTCAGAGGGAAGGTAGAGGAGGGTGGGGGTAAGGGGGAGAGATCAACCAAAGGACTTGTATGCATGCATATAAGCCTAACCAATGGACACAGACACCAAGGGGGTGAGGGCACGAGTGTGTGTGGGGTTGGGGGGCAATAGGGGGATAAGGATACATATATAATACCTTAATCAATAAAGAAAAATAAAATAAAACAAAATAAATTTAAAAAAGGAAAGACTTTTAACCCCCTTATGAAACTACTTAACTCTCAACATAGGCTCGTAAGATCTGCTTTACTGAAGGTGGAAAATTTCATTAGTGAAATGATATTCAATATGCTGAGTATATAAATATCAAAGTTATAAATTATACATTTTATATTAATTTTATACATTGTTTCATAGAAAATAATATTAAGTGTAAACACCATGAATCCAATTTAGACATGTTGTAATTTATATCACATAATTTAGGTATAAAACCTAAATTAAAATACATCAAGGCAGTGTTCACTCAAGAAAAGTTAATATATGCATTTGAATTGTTTTATGATATCTTAGAATTCAGTAAATTAAAAATAAAAACTTACCCTTTTTCTGCATCTCCTGGTAAAGTTTCCTTAATTCTGTCTTATGTCCTTCCTCTTTGATTTTCATTTCACTTATAAGTTTGGCAATGCTATTCTTATATTCCTAAAGATTAAAATATATTCATTCTTCAATTTAAATATGTGCATGCTACTTTTGATTAATTAGAAAGGTGAAACTAATTTTATATTAATTTTTGATATGTAATCATATCTAGAAGGGAAAGATATTGTTCAGTTTCAATCAGCTTTCAGAAGGACCAATTTCTGGTCCGAGGAGACAGAGACCATCTAGAGACAATGTCTTTTTACTTTTGCTTTCTGAGTACTCATCACTAGTGTTGCGCATTTCATAGATGCTTGAAACATTTTGTTTCATTTTATGAACAAACACCATGACAGCACTAAAATAGGTCCAATAAAAGCCAAAGTTATACTTCAGAGCCAATGGTAGGTACTATTCAAAAGACAACCAGCTTTCCCTAAAGTAGGATGAAACCTTATGAATGTGGGATGAACTTCTGTATCTAAAAATTATGCAAACATCCCTAATTCCCAGAAGGAGAGTAAGCATTACCCATTGTAAAGATTAGCTTTCTAAAGGAGGCTAGAACGGGGTGGGCTTGGGATTTGAGCCGTGCTCAGCAGGTGCCTGAGACTTGCTTCCTAGGTTGTGGGAGCATATTATGCTAATGTGGAGAGGGGCATTAAGTAGGCCACGAAAGAGAGTCCCCAAAGATAAAATCCACAATTTTCCCAGTGGTATGTCCCCACTAAAGAAATCACTCACAGGCCCAAGATGTAGGCAGAGGAGAGGACAGTGGGGAGAACAGTGAAGAAGGTGGTAAGAAAGAGACAGCAAGGAAGGCAAGTGGTCAGGAAAAGCCTCTGAACACTATGAGACAGGGCCTCGCTTTGAATCACTGTGGTATGTCTGCCTCCTAGTGTCTCTCTCCTGATGTATATTTGTTGAATGAATGAGAGTGCCAATAAAAATTAAGTCAGGACGAATCTCAGAGGGGAGGCGGGGGTGGGAGTGGGAGTGGGAAATGATTAACCAAAGAACCTATGTGCATAACTCATAAATACAGACAATAGTGTGGTGAAGGACTGGAAGGAGCAGGTACAGGGTGGAGGGAATCAATGGGAAAAAAGGGGGACATCTGTAATACTTTCAACAATAAAGATAATTTAAAAAATTAAGTGAGAAATTCTTAGCTTAGACCCAGTAAATGGGCTTTTGAGGATCCATTAACTTCCTGAAATTGTATGTAAAATTATACACATATTAGAGGCCCGATGCATGAAATTTGTGCAAGAGTAGGCCTTCCTTCCCCAGGCTTCGGGCACTGGCTGCCCTCTGGCACCCGGGGCTTGGGCTTCCCTCAGGCCGCCGGCAGGCACCTGGGACCCGGGCTTCTCTCACAGCCCAGGCTTCGTCTGGAAGGCCATCGGAAGGATGTCCAGTCTGATTGGCATATCATGCTTTTATTATTATAGATATGTGTGCAATATGTACTGATGAACTTTCTCCTCAGAGAGGGTTCACAGCTTTTCATAGATATTCAGTGATACTGAAGAGGTAAAAAAGTCCAGCTCTCCTGGCTTAGATGGCTATGATTAAACATAGAGGCACATCTGTTCAGGTTGCATAAGTTCAAGGGGATAGAGTCCAGATTCATACTGTGATACTTACCCTGCCAGGCAATTTGCAGGAATGGCCAAACCTATCCAAACACTGACTTTGATTAAAGCTGTACAGGTGAATTTGGGTGAATCTCATGAATTGACATTCCTCATATGCACGTACCTAGGTTCCAAGGTGGGCAACTACTGAGTGGTTTTCATAAACTACTCCCGACTCAACTGGGTGCACTAAGCAGTTACATAGTTTCTCTGAGAAACAAGAGACAAACCTATCTATCTTTTCATTCCCCATGGGCTTTGCTATCTGAAGATGCCATCACTAAAGGGGAATACTTCTGTTCATTGGTAAGACCCAGGGCTTTCACTCCCATCTCTAGGCACGGAGACTGTGTTTGGGCTGGGCTCTATCACACTGGATTCTTCTCCCCCACTTCAGCCTGGGCCAGTCCTTCCTCTTTCTAAGGGGACCAAGTCCCAACAAGTTATTCTTGGTTGCCTTCTGGGAACCTTAAATGCCAAGGAATAGCCTCTGGTTGTATTTTTGTTTTTATAAAACTTAAGGATTCTCTGTCTACAAGTTACAAAACCTCTCCCAGTCCCGTAACATGCTTATTAAGTACCTCCTGAGTTTGTTTCTGGGTAGTGGTTTTTCATGTTTTGGATGTGCCTGGAGGTTTTGTACTAGAGAATTCTCATAGGATTGAGGTCATCTTCGGTTTGCTTTGGACAGTAGCTAATTTAGAAGTGCAGAATCTTGGGCTGTGGTGTTTTCTCATCAATTTCCACCCTTTGAAAATCCCTATGGGACTCTAGAAAAAGCAGTATTCTGTGGCTTGACACCTGAGACGAGAAGAGGCAAACATTTCTCCCCCTTCTCTCTACCCCAATTACACTCTGACGTCACTATCTATTGTTGAGCTCTAAAGATGAGCTATGGAAAGGATGGGAAAGAATAAGGAAAAAGGATAAAGGAAAGGGGAAAGTAAACCATGGGATATATTCCAGAGATGTTTAAATTGTCTCAGAATTAGTGATGAGAGATGACATTTTCCAAGAGCGCAGCCAGATGCCAGTTATTTCATCTGAGTGATACCTAGGAGCTCTGCAGGGCTTTAGAACTAGACTGTGTTTCTTCAGAGGCTCCTCGAATGAGGAACCAGATTGAATTTAGAGATGGTCCTTCCAACTGAAGTTCTAAGTTTCATACAGATCCAACTAGAATTTTGGAAATCTTAGGCCAGAGTTTGACATATTGGCTCTCGGGAGAGGAGACTAATTAGTGTGATCAACTTCCCAAAGGGCAGAGAGGTGGGAACTGACGTTTACCGAGCACCTTTATGTTCTAGTCACTGTGTTGTGTGTATGTTCTATAGTTGCTAACACTATGCTGTTCTTATGGGGAAAAAAAAAGTAACAGAGGGTATGGTGGCCCTGGGAGAGAATTAATTGGCGGTTAAGTATTCCCTTCATTTAAATGGTGCAATAAAACCTGTAATATATTACTCAAGTCATAAAGATTAAACACTCATTTACTTTGTAGTAAAAAAGTTTAAAAGTGCTAATAAATTATGTATACTCTAGAGCAGGGGTGGGCAAACTTTTTGACTCGAGGGCCACAATGGGTTCTTAAACTGGACCGGAGGGCCGAAACAAAAGCATGGATGGAGTGTTTGTGACCTAATATAAATTCAAAGTAAACATCATTACATAAAAGGGTACGGTCTTTTTTTTTTTTTTTTTTTGTTTTTATACTTTAAAGCGGGGCCGGACCGGGCCCGCGGGCCGTAGTTTGCCCACGGCTGGTCTAGAGTAAAAACTCTATTAACATAACTTAAAAATATGTAACAAAATAGTTGCATTTTTTTGGTAGAAAGAAAAAGCACAAGTGACATATTAGTACATTACAGTCTGCAAGAAGACTAGAGTCCTCAGAATTTCTATTTCTTTAAAAATTTTCATTTGTTACAAATTCTGGCACACACACTCCCACACATATATATTTACTCTATATTTTGGCTGTCTTTATTAATGAAAACAACTACTTTTTTTTTCTAATTTAGAAGACAAATTTTCTACACAGGGACTTGATTGATACAAAGATACATACACTCACCTGTTCATGAGAGTTTAACTTTTCTTTCATAAGATCAGCATTTCTTTTCAGTTGTTCATTTTTACCTGCGTAAAAACCATCAAAGAGCATCCTAATATACAGCGCCTTTCAATTACATGGGAACACATGTAACCTTTCAAGTTTCCATTCATGTATGTACTACTCAACCCTTGAAAACAGCATCTATTACACACCTATTGCATATGCACAGAGTACGTGAAACTGGGACAGTGAGACAAAAATATAATCATTCTTCAAATCGTGCAGCCTGTGGTGAGAGATGTGTAAGTCGTTGTGATGTGCCATGCCACCCTGCAGTGGCAGTGTGTCTGAAGTACGTGGGACCTGTGGGACAAAAGCCCACGTCAGAATGAGGTCAGGCAAGAGTATACTGAGGAGGAAGCATCTGAGCTGAGACTTAAATGCTAAGGCTCACCCCAGGTGGGAGGGGGCATTTTAGAAGACTGTGGGCGGGGGTGAGCGCAGCACGCGTGGGAAAGTGACAACTGAAGTACAGCACTGTTGGAGTAAACTCTGAGGGAGGTGTGTTAAGTAGGTTGGGGCCATAGCCTAGTAGGAGGTCTGACTTTAAATTTTATTTTATGGAGTTATCAATGAATTTTACAGAGGCGTTGAAGAAATTTGAATAGTGAAGTGAAATGATTACAGTTAAGAAGATTATTTGGCAGTGCAGAGGATGATGGGAGTGTTTTGACCCCAGAGGCATGGATGTCAGAAAAGGCAGATCAAGTAACAAATAACAGGACCCTAAGTTAGGTCAGTAGCAGTAGGAGACAAAGGAAAAAATAAAGATAAGGATTTAGATGAGAGTCACCAGGAGCCTTAGTGGC